GTGTGTAGTGGGGTGCCCCAGGGCTCTGTTCTGGGCCCAGTGCTCTTCAACATCTTCATCAACGATCTGGACAAGGGGATAGATGGGGAGCTCATCAAATTTGCAGACGACACTAAGCTGGCAGGAACAGCCAACACTCCAGAAGACAGGCTTAGGATACAGGAGGATCTGGACAGACTTGAACACTGGGCGCTATCTAACAAAATGAAATTCAATGGTGAAAAAAGTAATGTTCTACATTTAGGCAAGAAAAACCAAATGTACAGGTATAGTATAGGGGGTACCTTGCTCAATAATAGTAACTGTGAGAGGAATCTCGGAGTCCTAGTGGACAGTCATTTAAATATGAGCCAGCAGTGTGATGCAGCTGCCAAAAAAGCCAACACAGTGCTAGGCTGCATTAACAGAGGGATAGAATCAAGATCACGTGAAGTATTAATACCACTTTACAATGCCTTGGTAAGGCCACACTTGGAATACTGCATCCAGTTTTGGTCACCACGATGTAAAAAAGATGTTGAGACTCTAGAAAGAGTACAGAGAAGAGCAACAAAGATGATTAGGGGACTGGAGGCTAAAGCATATAAGGAATGGTTGCTGGAATTGGGTATGTCTAGTTTAATGAAGAGAAGGATGAGGGAGGACATGATAGCAGTGTTCCAATATCTCAGGGGCTGCCACAAAGAAGAGGGAGTCAAGCTATTTTCCAAGGCACCTGAAGGCAGGACAAGAAGCAACGGGTGGAAACTAATCAAGGAGAGAAGCAACCTAGAACTAAGGAGAAACTTCCTGACAGTTAGAACAATTAACCAGTGGAACAACCTGCCTCCAGAATTGGTGAATGCTCCAACACTGGAAGTTTTTAAGAAGAGACTGGACAGCCATTTGTCTGAAATGGTATAGGGTTTCCTGCCTGAGCAGGGTGTTAGACTAGATGACCTCCAAGGTCCCTTCCAACTTTACTATTATTATTATTATTATTACATGACGTATTGTGATTTTTTTCATATTGCTGGAGCTGGGGTGGACGTGGGATCTGTATGATGCAACTGGCCTATGGGCCGGCAGTTTGACACCCCTGGGGTAGACCAAACCAAAAAAATCAACTCCATAAGTGTATTATAACTATGCTTTATTGAGATAGGCAGACATAACAGTATTTTATGATGTATGGCCTTAATCAAGATTTGATTGATTACAAATTTGATTGTATCTACCTTCTCTCCTTTCTTATAACTCAGGGAATCAGGGAGGCATTTGTCTAAGCTTCTTTCTGAGTGAGGAATGGAACCCATTTCTTGGTTATGTTGAATGTTTAATTGTGATATTATATTTTTTCTGATTGCTATTGGTTTTATAATTATTATATATTTCAAAATCATTTTAATATTGTTAACCACCTAGTATCTTGTATTTGAGATGGGTCACCATATAAGACTAACTTGCAAGCCAACATATAGTTACCTGTATCCCACTGACTAAGGGGTATACACAATCAGACACATCAAGACATTTTTTTTCCTGAGTTTTACATAAAGTTCCTGGGAATAATTTGATAGCTATGTATGTGAATTTCAAAAGGTACTTGCAATTTGTTTACATTTTTATATTGAAATATCAATTAAATTCATTTCATTTTTTCATATTGATAGTCACAACTGCTCAGCTTTGTAAAATAGATTTTACATGAAAACTATTCCAGGTTCAATTTGTAGCATCTCCAACAGAGCTTTTTAAAATCCCGAGAAGCTGCTAGCTGTCAATGTAGGCAACACTGAACTAGGTGGACTGATAGCTTAGTTGAGAATATGTGAGGTTCCTATATTTTTTTATACTTTACATTCATGTGTATTCAGAAATTAACTGCCATATTATAGAAGTCTTTGAAAAATCCCTAATTGTCAAAAGAAACAAATGTTATAGATATGATTTATGTGTTTTATTCAAGGAGATCAGAATAGGACACGTGATAACTTTTCTTCCTTTCAGCATATTCATTCTAAGAAATTTGATTAGCCCAAAGTTGTTCAGTGACCATTATTTATACAGTATATTACATATATACGGGACAGTCACTGAGTCTTCTTAGTTATAGATAAATCCCAGACATTTTTTTAACTATATAAAAACTTCAGGAGACATTGCTGACTTATTTATTTATTTAGTAGATTTATATGGTTGCTCATCTCACACATGTGGCTCTGCGTGGCATATTTCCCAAATACTGGACACAGGGTAATAAAGCATTGCTCAACCAGGTGACACCCAGATATACTGGACCGGGAATAATGAGAATTGCAATCCAACAAGTCTGGGTGACATCTGCTTGAGTAAGCTGCTGCAACGTATTACTTGAAAATATGATTTGTCAGCATGGTTGCGTGATGCTGCAATTTGATCTATCACATATTACAGATTGATTTTTGCTTCACTATCCATATCAGAGTGATGGTGCTAGATTGCTCTTTTCATACACCATTCTGCACTGGTGAATGTGAGGATTTCTATGTCCATGTTCATTCGTCTATTGTGTGTTTCTTAATCTATAGTGGTTATTTTGAACTGAATATTCTACCTAAAGGGCATAATATGTTTTTCTGCCTAGCAAAGGTTTTATTCCACTTGTAAGTAGACCAACAATTTTATTCTGAATAAGACATACTTTGTCTGAAACTCCTGGGTCAGTTCAGTTTCAGATATCTACTTAAGATTTAAATCTACACTCCAAATTAATTGACCCATATCAGATGCCAGAATCCAAACAAAATTGCCTTTTCTATCTTTCATGTACACATCCAAGCATCTCTAATTATATTGTGTCTGTACACTGAATTAAAAATCACTGTAACCAACCAATCTGCTTTGGGATTCAATCTTAGCAGAAAATTGGGCTATAAATAATAACAAATAAATCAGTGGACCCCCATCACATGCACTGCAAATTAAGTTCCTTAATATTTCTATCCAGAATTCTATCACTCTATTCATTTAGAATTAGCATTGCAAGAAGAGACTGGGGATAATTCTCTTGGACCCATTCTTCTTGTCCTTTCCTATTGCCTGTCTTCACAGATCTTTGTGGATTAAAGGGGCATCATCTGCAGTGAGGAGTTTCCATACATTGATAAACTTCCAACATAATCTGAAACATTCATTTTAGAGAGTTCTAAATTCCATAGGGAAACTGCACAACTAGCAAAAACTCCCTCTTTTGTCATTCGTCTCACTGCTAGACAGTGTAAATCTCCAGATGTTATTATCTTCAAATTTTGCTGGTGTAGCAGAACTTAATGTCATATCCTACTCCAAATGGTATAGTCCAGATATATTACTTTATTATTTTATAAATATTCCATATAACTTAATGATTTTTTAAAAAATGAAGTACATGAAGTAACTAATAGAGAAAATATATTCCAAAGTGTCTAACATTATTTATAATGTTAACATTGTAAGTGATAAAGTAGTGTTAAATTGAATCTACCATCTGAAATGTGATTCAACGATTATTGCAAAGATATAGTGATGATGACAAGTATAGACATATTTTTAAAAAGAAAGAGCTGAATAACGCACAATATGTTTACATGTTTACCATTAAATACGTGTTTCAATGCTATGAAACTTTAACTATATACAGAACTTGGAACAGATTAGAAAGAATGTTTTCTGGAAAAAAAGAAAAACAAACTAAACATAAAGATTGAGAAAACAAGACTGACATTCTTAGAAAACTGACCTGAACCAGTCATATGAGCTGGGCATCATACACAAAGAAGAAATGTGAAGATAATAAATAGTTTAAAGAGAGTTGGAATAATACATATACTGATTTCTTTTTATAAAGTTGATTGATTGATTAGGTGTTATCAAATAGGTGTCAACTTGCATAGATAGATTTTCTCTAGGATAGGAAGACTGACCTCAACCTAACCCTTTAGATTTCTCAATGATATGTTCATTACTTTTGAGATGCCACAGCTTTGATATTATAATTTCCATCTTCTTATACCAATACTGGTGATGTCCATGTACCTAGGCATTGTTCTGATTGTTTTCAGATTGTGTTAGTAGTCAAGGAATTGTTTAAATGTTGGAATTATAAATATATCAGAGCGATAAACAAATCCATTTCTTTGTGAAATAATGCTTCCATGTTGTTTTTATACCTGTTTTTATTGCTTATGACAGTTTTTAGGGATTTATTTTATTTAAGAAGATATATATTCCAAACCATTTTTATCTCCCATCCCACTCATTTTTAAGTCATTGCAAGCTTATTGAGAGTAATGGCACATACCACTGAAAGTAAAACATGAAGACTTTCTTTTTAGGATTAATATCAGGAATAGTCCAGCTAAGAAGAAATGAGAATGATTCAGACCAAGATAGCTAATTTAAGTCCTTTTAGAAATATCTATTTTTAAAAATGCCATCTAGTAATTTTTATTCCTGGAGATTCCCTGGACTAGTGATGGCAATTTTCTTGCCAAAATTTTCAAATAGTTTGCCCTTGTCCATGGCTGAGGAATGATTACCCCAGAGGCACCCAGTTAATATGCCTAAAGTGGGACTAGAACTCACAATCTCCTGCCTGCTAGCTTAGTGTCTTAACCACTATACCAATCTCAGTCTCTCAGAAGCATCTATTGGTGCCCTTTTCTTCTTAAAAACATCAAGTACCCATTTTACATGCCAAAGTATGAATAAAAATAAAAAAGCATTTATTGTGTAGCATGGAACAGGCATGGGAGACTGGCTGCCTGTTCCTTTGGAGCGAAGAGCACAGTAATATTGTCATTGTCTACAAAAAGTCAATCAACAATAGTAATTCAAACAAATTCCCTGGGATCCCTACAGCACATTCACAAACAGCAGAACATTAGAGAATGATAATGTGAGCTGGGTTCTTCTGTGCCAGAAGAAAACCTACTGAAGGAAATTGGGTTTAAGACCCTTTTTCTTTAGAGACTCCACTAACATCTCTCATTCTATTGCAGTTTCCTGCACCTGTTAGGAGGCATACAGAAACTAAAAAGGTAAGAAGTAATTGGTGAGTCCCTTCTTTGGAACAGCACTCTAATCATAGGAAATTTGAGCCCAGCCAATCCTATTTGGCTTGTATCCTTGGCTTTTTTTTATACAATAAGCTTTGGTACATCACTAAATCAAGACTGCAAAAAATAATATTTATTCTGCAATGATACATTTGAAATATCTTTTTAACAAAGACCATTTACTAATGTAAAATCATAAATATAATATTGTTTAAAAATTATAAACAAAAATGTAAATGAAAATTCTTACAAGTCAAAAGGCACTTCTCTAGAAAAGCATAACAATTGTACATTATTTTAAGTGTAACAGTTTCCGCATACAAAACTATCAACAAAAACATTTATTAATTGCTGTCAGAATAATCTTCCCACTAATTGCCCTTTTATATAATTAATGGAATATTCAATGTAGCTATAGTTCTAAAAACTGCTCTGTCATACATATCATATAATAGAGGGTAGTTTTAGAACTATAGCTAAATAGTTTAACTATAGCTAAAGCACTGTAATCATAAAATTTATTGTCCAGAATTTTGCTTCCCATCTCTAAAATGGTGTCCAGCCAAACGATTTCCCATTTTTATGAGAAGATCCTATTCCCTAATATCTACAGCCATTTGAAAAATGAACCAATCATTCAACTGATTAATCAGTCAATCAGTCTAAAAACTAGGTTTATATATGTACTAATCTGGAGAATATCTTACTATAATTCTGCTTGCCCATATCTGCAAGGAATAACTTATGACAGGCTAGTGTGATTTCCCAGTGACATATGACTGATGTGAATTGATCCAAGGAAAGTTCTACATTAGTTTGTTTGAAATTAATGAACCATAGTTGCAGCTAATATCCATTGATTTCATGAGGATAAGACTGAATATGATATTTGGCACTTTTTAAAACAAAACTCTTATCACAGTGGGATTTACTTCCAAATGCCTATATATGTACAGGTGTATCAGAACGTTCTATGAATGTACTGCAGAATTATGATGGTACAAGGTTTTGTCTCCCTAATCCAGCAACAACAATAAAATAAAACTGTAAAGCACTTGATGGGTTTTGTTGATGTAATTTAATGCCAATCAATGAAGAAATAGATTCAAAAGGGCCCCCAGATTCTGTCCATACCTTTTCTAGTGATTTCCCTGCATCTTTGCCAGAGTATGGGCCCCCATACTCTCTAGCTTATCAACTGCTTCATAAAGTTTCAGATTGTTCATTGACCCTCAAGGATTTATTAATAATCTAATAAGTACAATTTTCACTATAGGAGTATTAACAACAACAACAACAACAGTAGTCAACCCTTGGGAGGGTCAATATTGACCACTTTGGGAAACTCTGGTCCAGAGGAATCTACCAAAAGGTCCCCAGTTCAGAAAAGGCTGCCTACTCATGGATTATATGATTCTGCAGAATAATTGTCTAAAACTGTTTGAGTTTTACAGAAGATATTTAAACAGAGGAAAGAAAGATATGCTGGCAAAGTCTCTATGAGTTTAATTTTTACCATACGACAAAATAGGACATGTGTAGGGTGAACAGGAGTCAGTGCAACTCAAGGACTTTATACTCTTGTTTGGAATTCCAACAGTTTAGATAGCGATTAAATTTTCTAGGTTATTTAAAATTAAATCCCAAAGGTCAGTCTAAAATCAACACTAGTGGTTTGCGTGAATGCAGGCATGGAATATCTTTGAATGATTGAATATTACTACCATTTGCATCACCTTGTGGTACACTAGCATTATTTCAGGATTAAACTATTCAGGGGAAATTGAAACAAGGACAATATCTCATGGTATCTGATTGACTGTTTGCTGAAAGATTTCTCTTATAGAAGAGGCGAAATTGGATATGAATTTAGATACTTTGAAGTATATACATAGAACAGATAGTCAGAAAATGAAAAAAAAGCCTCCAAAATACAATAATAAGTAAAATTTCAGATACCTTTGGTAATCTTTGATACAATTATTTCCAAAACGTTGATGTACTTACCATTAAGTGCTAAACTTGACTTTGATAGTGGGCATATATGACATATTATGTTTTAGATGTCAGTTCTCCCAACCCAGTTTATGGAGAATTTTAGAAAACAGTTTGGTAAACTCTTTGAAAAATATCTGAATATTGACCTTAGCTATATTAAATTGGCAGAATTATTCCCAGCTACAAAAGGGGGGGAATGGTAACCTACTAGAACAGTGTTTTTCAACTTTAAGATGTATCGACTTCAATTCCCAAAATTTTCCAGCCAGCAAAGTTGACTGTTCCTGGCTGGGGAATTCTGGGAATTGAAGTCTGCACATCTTCAAGTTGTGTGGACTTCAGTTGAGAAACATTGCCAATTGGATGGCAAACAATCAATCAGCCAATCAGACTCCCCCCCGTAATATTGAATAGTAGTTCTAATCTGGATTTTCAAGAGCTAAAAAGCAAGATATTCTCTATAGAAAATATGTCAATTTTATATTTTCTTTTTCTTTAAAAATGTCCTTTCCATTGAAAGAAAAGGCACCTATTTGGGTAAGCAAATGTATTGTTTGTTTGCTCAGTGACATTTGGATAAGTGTTTTTATGAAAAAAGAGCTCAAATGATAATATAAAAACAAACTTGACTTATTCATCATTTTAGATTATTGCTCAGAAATTAAAAATATAAAAACTAAATCCAGCAGAGCCATCTGCTTTATCTCAGAAGTAGATCTTGTCCATGGGGAATTTGGACATTCTTTAGTAGGCTTGTTCATAATGCACTTGGTGAGAGATGTAGAACAAATATGGCTATGGTATTCTGGCTGGAGGTCTACAGCACTTATACTTTTTCCAGAACAACTAACTATAAAAATAAACCAGGTAGAAATATGGAATGTTAAATAGAAGCCCAAGAACACATAATTTTGTTGTAAGAGGAAGGAATATTGGACAAAACAAAATGTTCAGCTATGTGCACCTAGCAGTTTTAAACAGTACAGCCCCAGTGTAAAATTGTACTTTCCATAAGAAAGTTTGCCATTTGCCCTCATCTTGCATTAGTGCTGGACTGGTATTCAACAAATGAATTAGGCAATCACTCCCCAAGCTGAAATATAATGGACTGTGATAGTAGCCCTTATATCTTGCACTTCTAAAATCTTGGGCCAAACATACAGGTGCAGAATAAAGCCTGTTCTGAGATTAATTATGTCAGTCACGACTCCAGGGACCTACTCAGGCTTTCTGAAATTGATCTTAGTTTTAAAAGAACAGCATAAAGCACTGCCATTTTAGCTCTACATATTTTTATTGAACTGAAGTGATGGGTGGCTATACCAATATATTGAAACTGTATATATGTAGGCATGAAAGCTCTCTCTCAGGAATTTACTGCATTTACCGTATGAAGTGGACATGATCTATGAAAGCTTGTAAGATAATAAAATTGCTTAGTTTTTGAGATATATAAAACTCTTTCTCTCTTTGTATTTTGTTTATCACAGCTCCCTTTCCAGAAGCTGTACTAATCCCATATGCCCCACACAACTACAGAGAGACCACGAATGCCAGCAAGAACATTCATATATGTTGTAAGTGAACAGCATGAATACAAGCATGATTGTATTCTCTGGACAAGAAAAAAAGGTCATGCAAACATGACACTTAAAATCAGATTTGAAAATTTGCAAAGTTGTATTTAATTAGCACTAGTACTGAACTCAGTGGGAGGTGGCAAATGAATATATTTCAATCTGTTTTTAGAAGGATGAAAAGCTTTCTCTCCCTTCTTGCCTTAATACAGAATAAAAAGCAATTGGCCTGGTCAGGACTTTAATTAAAATATTACAATTACTTAGCCGGTTTTCCTAATACACAAATGATATCAGCTCAAAACCATGCTATATTATGCACATACAAACAAAAGTGTTGAGTATCAATCCTAAAGTTGTTGGTAAAAATAATGAAATAATTCGTTAAAAAAAATAAGAGATCCATGTTCTCTTTTAATAGTCATCCATCTCTCCTTTCAGAAAACTTCTAGATAGAAGTATTAGAATATCATTATAGTGGGTTGAGCATTCAATCCAATCAATATCACAATGCTATCTTATCTACAATTAAAATATTATGCCCATAACTTCAGTGACAAGATGAGTTTTCAAAGGCCTGTGCTGGGAATTGAAGCTGTAATTACCCATTCATCAGGCTCAAGAGGTATGAGCACCAGTTTTTAATACAAAGCTCATTAAAATAGATTTGGAAGATAAATGCAAATATCCAAAGAGGTGGGAAGACTCCCTAGGCAGTGAGATTTCATTCAAACGTATAATTTAGCACGGGAAAAAAACTCTGTGTGTGTTTATGTGCATTTGATTTTACACACACACACTCATACACATATCTCTCTCACATACACAGACACACATACATGCACACACACATGCACACACATATATACACACATATAGCTAGGCTGTTTGGATACTCAGCAGGATCCCTTTCTCTAGAGTCTAGGCTGAATACCCTGTACTGACTGTAAATGAACTACCAACCTATTTTTAAGTTATTGCTTTTGGTTTCTAAGCTTTTGTTTCAGTTTGGCTAGTTTATAAACATTCTACTCAGGACTAGAATAACCCAGGTTTCACTTCTCCTTGCTCAATATGTGGTATATTATTGTTTTTCATGACAGCCTGTTAATTTTGCTGTACTATGGAGTGAACATTCTCTATTGTGATGGAACAGATTTTAAAAGAGGGATTAAACACAGAATGTCATGGTTCTGATTGACAGAGACAAATAAAGCAGAACTCCAAGGCTTGCAAATTCCTCAAAGAACATGTTTATTGATACAGAGTATTGGCACTTCAAAAGTGAAACCAAGTCTGAAGAGATGCATAACAATTCCCCAATACAAAGTTAAGAAATCACAACCCTAAATCTATGCAAGCAACTACGTTTCCCCACTCAGCTGGTTGGTGGGCTTTTCATGAAACGCCCAGCCCGCAGTCTCGGGAGCAAGCAATGACCTTGGTTCCCATGAGAGAAAGTTGGAGAGAGAAAGTCTGTTTTGTGTAGCACAACAGCTGACAAACCCCCTCCCTCCATGCGATGTGGCAACTAGGAATGAGAAGGAAAAAATGGCTGCAGCCATGCTCATTCTAAAGTTGACACAGTTCTCTTGTAGCATGCTTCTGCTATAAATATATTTAAAAAATTCTCTTGCCCAGGCATTTCCTTGACTTATTATGATTACCTCATCACTCATTGCCACAACAATTGTATTTTTAGCCAGTTTTATAGCATACGTTTGCAGTTTTGAATATTTATTGTATGTTTTAAATGAATAGGTTTACCTAACTATTTGTGAATAAATAACTAAAAATAAATATACTTTTACAGTGGACTGATACATCATAAAAATGTATTGATGTTTTGAATTCTAAATGAACAAGATCCCAGATTGTGTGTGGCATTGTTGTAATGTATCATTGCCTAGAGCAGTGGTGGTGAACCTATGGCACGCGTGCCAGAGGTAGCACTCGGAGCCCTTTCTGTGGGCACACATGCTGTTGCCCCAGCTTTGCCTCCCGCACGACCCCTTCCTCACCAGCAGCCCCCCTGGAGGAGAGTCACCCCGAGCATGGCCCATGTGAAGCAGTGCAGTCAAGGCCATGGCAGCCAGGCAGTGCAGACAAGACTCTGCCCTCACACTCCATCATGCAGTTGATGCTGCAGGGGGCGGGCAGAGGGTGTAGTCACCATGGCGCTGCTGGGCTGCCTGGGCGATCTGCGGCGGGCCCTGGAGGCGGTGAGTGGCCCTGCGGGCAGGCGGGGCAGGGGATGGAGCCAGTTTTGGGGGCCAGTTTTTGGGCACTCGGTCTCTAAAAGGTTGGCCATCACTGGCCTAAAAGATTTTTAGATGTCTTTGTGGTGTTAGTAAAGAAACCATCAACACCTCAAAGCAACAGAAAAACATAGTGAAGTAACTGGCCAGTACCTATCCTGAAGATTTCTTGAGAGGAAAGTATTTGGAGAGTCTTCAAGAACTGAATCAAACTTGATTCTATTAAGTGTTTCACTTTCAGGATGTTCGTTCAGGTAGTACTCCTGAATCTGGAATTAATTATGGTTATATTCTGTGTTGGTTTCAAAACCACAAGTGAGTATGTTTTAGGTTGCAGTTCACACCTATAAGAAAGCTCTTATTTTCTTCCATATGAGTATTGTATAAATTTTATAACAGTATTCAATATGCTCAATTAGCATAAAAGGGCACCTGAACCATGCCTTTCTCATAGTATGTGGTATGCTCTTATTCAAGCCTGATGGTTTCCTTTAATATCAAGCCGCATCATGCTTTGGGTCAAAATTTAATCAATACTTAATAGCAAGCATAATTAGGTTTTACTTGTGAACAATGCAGCTATACATTATTTAGCTCCACTGCATGTAAAGAAGAAATTAAGAAGCCAAGTTCATAAAAAATGAACAATTTGAACTGTCTTCCTCTCTATTTCTTCAAAAGCTGTATTGGATACAAATATGGATTCAAATAGAAAAAAAGACTATTATCCTTCTCATCTTTCCTATTACTTACTCCTATTGGTATCTTATGACTATCACTTTGTTGGTTGTATCTTATTATTTATGATTTATCACTTTGTTGCTTGTATGTATGCTGAGAGTTTATGCACCAGAGACAAATTCCTTACATGCCCAGTCAAATTCCTTACTTGGCCAACAAATAATGTTCTGTTCTGTTCTGTTCTGTCCTGTCCTGTCCTGTCCTGTGCTATGCTAGTCTATTCTGGAGCATGAACATCAATAATGTCTTAAGTGATCATCAAAATGTTTGGAAAAATATACAGGAAATTGAATATTAAACAATTTGCCATCGATCCTATTGTTAAAAATAGAATTGCATCTTATTTGATGTTAGTTTGATACCTGGAGTCCTTGCTATCCAATCCTGTAGAACAAGTCCAGCCACAGATTTTTGTTTTGAAAACAAATAAATAAAATTGTGTGCTTTTCTACTACCACATCTCTTTTATTGCTAAGAACACATTTTTATTCAGATTGATTTTTGATGTTCAAACAGATTTGCTGTTTATGGCAGTCTTTAATGTGACAGGGTAATCTCGCTTAGTTTTTACTGATGTCTTTTATTAGTTAAACTTTTATGGTTGGCATATTTAATTATAAATTCATTGTTTTATCTATATATATTTAACACCCTAGTGGGGTGGATGTCTACAAATCTGTAAAATAAATAAATATTGAGACTGGGATGTTATTAGGACAGGAAGTATTTAATATTACAAGAGATGTGTTAATAAGTTTTGGTGGTTGTCTCACTTTTAGCAGTGTGGATCATAAGCACTTCTGTTATTAATTGCATATCCATCTTCTAAAATATAGGTGTGTTGATTAGTAACATTTCAAACAGTCATTAGTAACACAATTCAGTACAAGTCTCCTATAAACCTGATAATGTTCAAGAACTGTCACACAGGATTTATTATTAGCATGCTTCACACCATTTCTTCTTCTTTGTGTTCACATATTTACAGAGCGGATACATTTAGCTCTCTGCTATAACAACAACAACAAAAATCTATTTGTTTAATTCATTACCAATAGTTACATTAGCATAAATATATTAATCTAACAATCAAATATGGTTGCCTTTCTTTCACCTATTAGATGCACGAGAAAGGAGTTTCTCTTCCTTATTGTCAGATTGAGTTAATATTCAACTAGGGATTACTTTGCTTGATAGAGGAGCAAAGAGATGTGGATGTTTAATTCTTCATTAATCTTTTCCTTGCCATAATGAATAAAGGTGTAAATATTAACACCTCTGATTTTCAAACATCAGTTTAAGCTACCATCCATAAATTCACTTTCCTAAAGGCCACATGCTTCAGTAAGTGAGCTCTCGTTCACACTGAATACGATAACTCAATTTAGACCTATTTTGATTATTTAAGCTTCTTGTACATAAAATAATAGTAGCCATCTGATACTCCTGCCCTAATTTCCTATAGTTATTTGAACCCTTTAAAAGAAGATCAAATTAAAAAACAACAAATTGTGTGCATGTGTATGTGTAATGTATATATGTATGTGTATCACTGGGTATTTCAATATATTTTGTAGCTTCCCTTTATAAATTATTTGTTGAAGCCTTTGTATTGTTTTCCAGTTGTAACTGACAGCTTTATAACACCTGGGGGCACATTTGAGGTCTCTTTCTCTTTTCAAAACATTCTTCTCTATCCAGAGAAAAGGCTGTTTTTCTTTGTTTCTTTGCTATGAAAAGCAGATCAGAGACTGCCTCTGAATGCAGAAAAAGATGACATTCCCCAGTAACTACCAGGTTACTTATGCTACACCAGACCCATGTCCTGCCTGTGGACTTTTTCTAATTTCTCTACCCATATGGACCTTCTCATGGACCATGGAAATAACAACAATAAAGAGTCAAGACTTATTAAAAATATAAAGTGGTGGAGGACTTTGGATATATTCCACTTTTTAATTGCTGAGGCACTAATGTCAAACTACCAAGCAGTATATTTTT